ACTTTCTCTGCTCTCTTTTTCTCATCATCTTCTCCTTCTTTCCCATCGCCCGGCTTGCCGCAGGTTTGTCTGCTGTGTCTAAAAGTAGCAGCAGCAGCAACCCAGACTGACAGCAGCTCATTGGATCATTTGGATCACGTGCAGCCTGGTGCCAGACGCTCCGGAGGGCTTTACCGTATTAACAGGAGAAGGGGTGCAAGCGAAGTTAGACACTGCCATCAGACAACATGCAGTAATTTATAAATGTTTTAAATCAGGTTGGGTCCGTATTAGCCAGCAGGTGACCTCTGGCCTAGTCAAAGTCCAGATCTTGATCTTGCTGAGGACCTATTGGGTAACTTTAAAGATAGAGACTGCAGATGGCAAAAAGCTTCTAACGGAGCTTCTTTTAACCATTGGGGTTCAAACTCTGGCTACCCATCAGGAGGTGGACTAACTTTCCCTCAGCTGTAAAATTCCCTTTTCTTAGGACTTTACATTTCTTTTAATAATTAGAGAAAAGACTGTATCATTAAACAGCTTGCAGACTTTTTTTCCATAACTGTGTGTTGGACCACTTCATCTCAATTACATTCTTGTTGTTGGTTATAAAATATACAAACTGAAAGCGTGTCTCAGTTTATACAGTAAATGTTTTCTACTTTCTGTGGCTTCATGAATGAGGTGGTTAGAGGTTAGCTAGAACAGCTTTCAGAAATGCTAATTCCCCCCCAAAAAATGCATCTTTCAGTGTAGAAAAGGAAGATGTTTATTCTAGCTTAGAGTCATAAATATAAATAAAAAAAACAACACCATGTAGAAAAAAAAAAAGACATTTAAAAATGACATCCTTATTTTATTTCAATATAATTTTTTTATTCTTTTCTTAACAGCAGCGTAGCTTACAGCTGTGAGTAAAACACCTAAAAATGTTTTGATTCCTGTTATTCTAATAAATGATCTTCGTACCAGCCTGGTTTTCAGCTAACAGATGTAGGAGGACGGATCAGTGTTTCTCCGAGGCTTTTAAACATCAGGAATGTGAACCTGAAGCTGCCATTTTGGTTCAACAAGTCAAGTAAAAGTCATCTCATTTCGTGTTATTCAGCTGGTTTCCTATGAACATTATCCTGAGATTGTTTCATTACAGAAACTTTCAACCCTTTTCATCTTTTAAATATATCAACAGGGTCCTCATTGTTACGGCTCAGTGACTCATAAATGTGTTGGCTGCGATCAGACACTTCATTTGGGCCACATAGTGTTGGAGTCCAGTCTTTTGTTAACCAGTGTTGCGGGTTAAAGGCCAAACTCTTTTTGTTTCAGCTGGTTTGAGCTACATTTAGTCATCCACACCTCTTTCCTTCCTTCCTGCTGCCCTTAGCTTTTCCCTTTATTATTTTTACCATGAAGTAAAATGTTTGTTTCCAGGAAACACAGAAGTGAAAGCTAGGCAGACATTTTACCACCTCACTTATACCAACCTACTAAGATATTAAAATATTACACAAGATGCCGCACCGATGAAATACTGAGGAAAGGGGAGTAGAGTATGGTCAGTTTGGGGTTATTTGTGGCCTTCCTGTGACCCCGGTTCAAGAATTTGAGAAGAAATTGTCCGAAAAAATAATTTTGATCTTTTTAAAGCAAAAATGTTGGATACAATGCAAAATATTCATCCTCTGTTATGTTTTTTCTACTCATTTTTTACTGTTGCTTTTATTTTGTATTACATCAAATTATTTAAATTCAATCAATTAATTCATTTTTAAGCTATTGATGCTTCTGTTATTCTCTCATATAATTGAGCAGCTAAAACAGAAGGAATATACAATAAAATAATGTTTTCTATTTGGAGAAAAAAGAATTTTGTAGTGTAGATGTGAAAAAACCACAGTTTTTATCTTCAGGGTATTTATTGCACAGATTACAGGTAAGAATATATATGAGGGTAGAGTAGATAAGGTTACAGCACTACTCAGTGGCTAATGTTCTGGACCATTAACAACATTCAAGTTAGCTTGTAGTACATTACAAGTCATGTATCATATGTATATATAAGACCAAAGTGCACTAATCAACATCGAGTGTACTCAGACTGATGATCTGTAGTGCCGAAAACAGTTTAAAGGGACCCTAATGTTTCAGATTCCTATAAATCAAATGTTTATGTCCAAAATTACAGACTAACAAAGAAACGCATCACAGATTCTGTTTCTTTTTTAACACTGCCACAAGTACAGGATCTATAAAGTTACAGCACAACTGGAAGGCAAAATTAATTCATTTAAACTGAATTTAAATGTGTTCGCTTGTTCTAAGCTGCTTTTAGACAGGATTAGCCCACGTCATTTTTAGCTAGCTGCGTTATCTGTAGCCAATAACTAGCTTAACAAGAAAAGTTATGTAATTCTTTAGAAATGTCCCCAAAATAACAAACTTCACAGAGTGGCTTTGAAGCTGAAGTTAATCATAAAGTAACCATGGAATACAGTATATGGGAACAATTATACATTTATATTTGATGAAATGTGTTGTTCTTTCAGCCAATCAAGCTAAAATGAGCTAGCTCAAACTGGTATAAATTAGTATAAACTGGTATAAACTGGCTCAAAGCTGAGGATTTTTAAAATGTCCAAGCCTGTTTCTAGGTTGAATTTAGTTTTTCTTTCTCTTCTCTTTGTTTGTTTTTAGTCAATTTTAATTAAAAAGCTTAATTCAAACAATAATGCCAGATCTAGATTGGTCACAGCTTTAACGTTAAATTTTCATACCTCCAATGACTTCTGGTTAAATTTTAATGATAAGGTTTAAACATTTTAGCTATTCTATTTTTTTAGTCTGTAAAGAGTTTGTCAAACATTACAGCTTAAAAAATGTCCCAGATTCAGAGAAGTTCACTATTCTGGTTCCACAGGTCTGAAAAGCTTAATCTTCAGTCCTATTTTGTATGGGCTTCGCCCTTTAAGGCTATCGCTAGTGGGTTTATCTTTCTCACTTGCAAAGGGATAAAGCCACTAGCGATAGCCTTAAAGGGCGAAGACTATACAAAATAGACATAACCAACAATCTGAGTTGATTTTTTACCATATGTGTTACAGTATACATAGCAAATCAGTTACAGTTCTTTTGTTGCAATTTTAGAAGAATTGCTTAATCTCTTTTACATATTTAACAGTTAAAACACCTTTACAGACCGTTTCAGCTACAATTTTTATGGCTAAATCCCAAACAGTAAATGTCCTCCGATTAGTCTTGTATTTCCAGATATTAAGCCGCTGTGTGTCCGATAAGTTTGCTTCTTTGCATTATGGGCATTTTAGTTTAATCACAGCGTAAAATCACTTTAGCTAGAACTTAAGCACAGAACGGCTAAATGCAGGGATAGAAGAGGTTATGAAAAGGCAGTGCCTTGAAGAGCAAACTTATCTAATATGATCTAACACCCATGTATCAAAAACTGCATGTTATATGAATTATTAAGGGATTCATTTAAGAGATAAAATAATTAAGACTTCTGAAGAGCCTAAAGTAGTCCAGGAGGGTTGAAATCCACTTGCCCGTCATGCAACCTTGACCCATGTAAGAAAAAGGTTACTGAGCTGGGCATGAGGTGAGGTTTTAAACAAAGCAAGTGGCTCTAGCCATTCAGATTCATTAAATGAACATTAAATTCAATTAACTAAATTTCAGGATGTGGTTAGCATAAGGGGCTAATTTGCTGACAACCAGAGGCGGCTGGATGAAGAATTTATTCCCACAAATCTTTAAAAGTCTCCATAATTAAGCATCCGATTAATAACTAGGATATTTTTTTTTTTCTGAAAATAACCTACCGGTATTTGTATATGGAGAAGCTAAACGTTTCTTTTTGTAGCTTAAGACGAAAGCAGCTTTTCCACTGAACAGTTTAGGATTAAGTGTTGCTAAGGCCAAACAATGCCCTAAGGTTTCAGATTTTGGTTAACGTCATCAGCATATAAAGAGGAAAACAAGCAGGTTGAAGACTAATTTTACTGGTAGAATGTTTGTTAATTTTTAACCATAATGTAAAAACTGATATTCGTTTGATTTTCATTTCTTTCAGCACTAAGCTGTGGACTGAGACTGGTCAGTAAAATGGATTTTAAAACATGTCCAAACCTGCCTGTAAGCTCAGGTTTGGATCAAAGACTTCCTTTTTTCCTTTCTAATGTTAAATATGTATCAAATAAAAGAGGAAAATTGATAAACTGAAAACTCTGCCCAATTTCTCGCATGAATTTAACAGGTAGTAATATATATATTTTTAAGTTTTTCAGTCCTTCAGAGGCTGTATCTAATTGATCACATCACCGATACTACCTTCCATCGAAAGCCATTTAGGGTCCCTTTAAATCTTGGTCAACAACCTTAACAAAGTACATAACATGTACCACATCTAAACAGACACAATACTACGTCAGAGGCAGTGTGTGTTGTTGTACCGGCTCCTGCAGGGGGCGCTGAGAGGAACTCACTTTCACTTCAGTCACCGATTACGCCACAATCCGACTTCCCATCCAATTCGCAAATGAGCTCCAAGTGACAAAAGTGAGTGATGGCGGTCCCAGGAGGCAGGTTGGATTTTGTATAATGAATACGTCCAAAGTCTTAACTCCCATGAAAGTACAACAATGGAAGAAGTAAATAAAAATATATCTGTACATAGAAAAAGTCTTTAAAACATTTTCGCCTTTGAAGTCCAATTTCGGTCCCAATAATCCCAGTTTTAGCAGCAAGATCCTTGTGTTTGTGGTCTATGGATTGAAGTTCAACTCCACACACAAGTTTAATAGCACTTATATGTACATGTACTGTACACGGTGGTCCCGTCCACACAGAAAGCCCATCAGACGCAAGTAGCTCATGTTCTTCATTACTGGCATTACATTACAAATCTAAGATCTAAACTGGACACAGAAACTCGTACAGAAAACAACTACTTTAGTTTTATATCACATTCTGCTCTAAAACGCACAATTCAATACAATTCTTTCAGTGTTTTTGACAGATTGAATTATGTCTAAAAAAAACATTGAAAAAACATTTTTTTATTCGATTCTTTTTGTTTTCATGAGTTTTTTATTTCCCTCCTCACATTGACAGAACGGGCTTATATGCTTATATTCTGGGATACTTTGGTGGATTGTCTTCTTGATTTAAATTCCTGCTCCTGGTCATAATCTGTAGGGCTCTTCTAACTCCATTCGGTTCTAAATAACCTTAATAATCATTGAAAAAAAAAATGTAATTAAAAGTAAAAAGAAGCAAACTGTAGAAAAATAAACTTTTTACGTTGATGAAGTAAAATAATGTATCACATTAAAAGCACGATGATGACAGTCCGCACCATCGTTAAATTCAATCACATTTTTGGTAAACAGCGGCGGGATTATCGTCACTGCTTCAAAGAAACATAATGGGTGTAAAAAATCTGTCCTTTCTAATCTCTGAACATATTTTGCCTATATCACTTTTCCCTTACAGTATTTTTTATGTTAACAACGCTGCCAGCATCTGGCCAAAGAGGCACAAACATTATATATTTGATTAAGTTTCTTATTTTGGTTTAAATTGACAGAACTGGGCTTTAGCTTATTTGAGTAACATTTTAAAGAATTACATCATTATCAGTTGATTAAAGTATAAATGTTTACAATTGTTCTTTAAGTTAAATTTTTTGGTTTGTTTTTTGACATTACTGGGTAAAAGATATAATATAATCATTCTGCTGTTCCCTTAGAATAAACTTTGAGACTATTTGAGGATAAAAGTTTGTGATTTTACTATAAATCAGCTGAAAAAATAAACTTAGGCGGTTATTATTCAATAATTTATTGTTCTTATATTTTTTAAATATTTGATAAACTATAGATTCTGCTTTATATTCTGATTCTTTCTAAAACTCTTTAGTTTTTAAGAGTATCTATTAAAAAAAACAGAAACTACAGGAAGTCCAGTCTGTTCTGATTGGCTGTTAGCTTTAGCTAAGCCAATGGGATCAGACGTTTCATTTCCTGTATCTCCTTCCCTTTATTATCAGCTCCAGCTCTCAGATTGGTCCGTCACATGAGTGCTGCATTAACTGCAGAGTCAAACAGTAAATACTATGCAGATATTACTTTGCAGTAAATCAGTCTTCAGAGAATATTGCACCAGAACAGGCCTTCATCTACAGCAATATTAAAGCACATGACAAGAGCAACTAAAGCTAAAATGAACTCTAATTGCTTTTCTTTACTACAGTTAGCAGTGAAGCCGAAGCTTTAAAGATCTATTGTATGGCTAAATAAAGCCCCATTCAGGAGCTGAGAACCAGCAGATAAACTGGATTATAGACTCACTGACAGAAAAAGAGTTTAGCACCCAGGAGAAATTATCTAGTTTTATCATTTGGTCTACATGTAAACCACTGATGGAGATAAATGGAAAAGATGAAACTTCTAAGGATCAGTGCCTGACAGTCAGAATAATGAGCAGCAGACTCAGAGGATGGGTTGGAGAGAACGCCATTTAAGTACGCTACAACTGTCCATCTAAAACCTTTTCACTCCTTTCATCTGTAAGGAGTGTCGGTTGTTCAGAAAACACCTGACGCAAAGGCGCTGAAGGCATAGGTCTAATTGCTTATGACTCATAAAACCAACAACCTTGTCTTGTTACCTAAAAGTTAAACACAGGGTTATTTACGGAATTACACATAGGCTGCCATGACTTATACTAATTATTACTTTCTCTTTGTCGTGGTATTGCAGGATGTAAGCACTTTTAACACAAACCAATCATCTCGTTATCACGAGAAAAGAGCTTTATTATCTTTAGATAATAAGAAAATCAGCTCGTTTTCTCAGAAAAATCCACCGTGAAAAAGTATCCGAGTGACAAGACCGCTCTGGGCTTCCGTAGGCAGGACTTAGTCGTTATGATGTTTATTTAGCTTAAACACATTGTTATTGCCATATACAGTAATATATCTTTATGTTGTATTTTATTGTGTTTTATCATTTTTAGCTATGTTCAACTGTTTTAAAGCTCTCTACAAATAAAGTTGATGATGATGACTTTCCTTTTATAATACAAAATCACCAAGGCCATAAAAAAATGCAAAAAGAAAAATTTACACACAAAAACGAGTACAGATGGAACAAACTGACCAATGTCGTAACTTTTAACTCTCCTCTTAGTCTGCAGATTTACCCTCCTTCGCGATCGGCTAGCTTGGTTGGCCATTCTCCCAACACTGACCATCAGTTGACTGCGACGCGCCTGATACTCGCTGGAAGTCGAGGCCTGGCTCCTATTTTAGTGGTTTAATTAATTTTTTTGTTCAAAAGACAGAAATGGTGCTACACTCTGATCTGACATTGTTTCTCAAACCTTTACATGTGTGCAGTTTATTCTCCATTAGGTGCCAAACTATTTTTTTGTCAGTTTTTTTAAAAAGAAAATGTGATTAAAGAATAAATTCAGTGCTTAAACTGAGACTTTTTAGGCATTTTTGTTGCATTTTTAAGTTTTAAACCATCATATTAAGAGGAGAACTTTAAACTGAAAGGTATCTTTAAATGGTTTCAAGCAGGACATTTGGATTGTCTGGCAGTTTATCATAAAACCCTGGACCTGATTGGACATTTTCCGATCCGTCAAATTCTTGATTATCATTTTACTTCCATATTGTATTTAAAAAATAAAAAAAAGAAAACGCATAGGAAAATAAAAACAGAGTTATTAACGTAGAGCAGCCAAAATGTTTGACTTTAAATGAAGCTTCATATTTGGAACATTGAAATCACTTCTTAAAATAAACCACTTGTTAAACGTGACGTTTTCCAGACTTATATTAGGAAAATCTAAGGGATGAGATTCCAGTGAAATGCTGCTGGTCGGGGTCACACACACGGCGGACCATTAAATACTTCTAGAGCAGCTAAAGCTAAAGGTGCAATCAGTTAACAGTCGTTTTCCAAGATTGCTGATAAGAACGTCACACGTTACAAAAGAATTGAAAATCCTATGGGACACAGAGACACGTGTCACACAGGGTTAGAAAACAATGTCAACCTTCCCAAGGTCCGCCGGGTGACAGACGTCCATGGAGTGTCACTAATCGGCAACTAAACATCCGGTGAAGAAGAAGAAGAAGAACGGGTACATCCCAGAAGCTGAAATTTACCTTCTCCTTTTTCTCTGCACACAGCTTCCACAGTTTGTCATCCACTAACGTCCAGGAGTCTCACCCAGAGAGAGAACCAACGCTCATCAGATGTTTCTGTAAACACTCGGGGTCCCACGGCGGGGCGGGGGGGGCTCACTGGCCAGTTTCTGCTGACAGCTGGGCCTCATACAGACTCAGAGCGTGATGGACGAACTCGTACTGCTCCCCTGTTTGAATCATACCTCCTCTGAACCAGAGAGACCAGATAACATCAGTTATTGGGGCAAAATGGCGAAGAATTAAACACCCAGCTTAATCTTAAAATTAAAATAAATTGAATTAAATGACTTTATACTAAAAATCACAAAAAATAGAAGATTCCTAAGAAGGGTTAAGGGGGACGACATTAGATAAGTAAATATAGCATGACATAAATTTATACTGAAATAAATAAATGTATTATTAAGTATTTAAATTACACCTTTAAATACACAATTAAATAATAACAAATCTCTCTCTCTAAAAAGGAAAACCAGGAAGAGATTTTCTTTCTCATGGAAAAACAACCAATCAGATGTAAGCGTTTCAGTGGAAGCAGCTCTAGCTCCGCCCACTGAGTTTGACAGTAGAGCATTTTTAATGACTCCAGCATAAAATACATACAGTTAAATAATGAAATGTATATGCAAATTAAACAATTAAAGATTATTTATTGTCA